CTCATGACTAGGACATCCAGCCTTACAGAGAGCCTTTATTTTCATCTGCAAGATTTCCAGGGTCTTTTTTCCAGTTTTTTTTTATTTGTTTGTTTGTTGTTTTTTAGAACAAGGTCTACAGGGTCTCACTGCGTGGATCAGACTCGTAGTGACCCTCCTGTTTCCAGCCTCCCAAGTGCTGGGATTACAGGCGTGTGCCACCATTCCCAGTCTCAGTCGCCGGCACAGCACACCAGGGATCAAACCTGGCCACTGTGCTCTGCCTAAGCATGCACTCTAATCCTCTGAGCTATCAGGCCAGCCCTCAGATTTTTTTAAGAAATCTTTTTTTTAATTTATTTATTTGGTACAGGGTCTTGCTATGCATTGGAACTCATAGTGATCCTCCTATCTCAGCCTCCCCAGAGCTGGGATTACAGGCGTGCGCCACCACGCCTGGTTTTGGTGGCCAGCACAGTGCACCCGGAGTTCCAGGGCCAGCATGGGCATGCAATGCCAGAGAACAAACCCCAGTCCTTGTGCTTGACAGGTAGACACTTAGACCACCACGCTGTCTCTCCAGCCCAAGACAGGTGTTTTACTACCTAAAAGTTCTCCTTCATTTCAGCTTAAACATGAGCTATGCAAAAATGTATTTACAAGCAAGAGCCCAATAAACTGTTTTTAGGGGAGGTTTGTTTTTTTGTTTTTGGTGCTGAGGTCTGAACCCAGGGCTTCCAGCTTGCAAAGCAAGCATTCTACCGCTGAGCTAAATCCCAATCCCCGTTTTTAAATAAACTTGGTCAACAATTTTTCTTTTCCTAAATGTGCAATTTTATTTTATTTATTTATTTATTTATTTGTTTATTTATTTATTTATGGCCAGCTCAGCCTGCCCTAGGGTGGGGCTCGTGTGGTCTGTGGTGCTGGAGATTGAACCTGGGTCCTTGCATTTGCCTAAGTTTGCTTGAGCTATCTTCCCAGCCCCAAAATACTTGCATACAAGGAAAAGCCTTATAGTTAGAGAGACAGAAAGTGGATGAAAGGCAAGCCAGCCGATGAAATATTCTTAAGGTAATACATAAAATATAATCGGCCCCGCACTAGTTAGTCCAAGGGGTGCCGCCGGTATTTCTCCTTGAAGCCACTTGCACAGCCCTCCTGGGGCCCGAGACGTCAGGGCACATGGCCTGCGTGGTGGGGAAAGGGCCGAGTATTAGGTTCGCGGGCTGCTGATCCTATGCATAAAGCAGTTCAAAGAGCAGACAGCTTTTAACTGTGTCTTTCTACTGCTCCGCGTTTGCAGTGGGCAGGACTGCAGACCTAGAGCGGGTGCCGCACGCGGGCTCTCCGCTGCAGCCGGCTCGGCGCGGCAGGGCCTCAGATGCGCTCTGTCCCCAGGGGCCAGCCTTGCGGCCCGCGCCTCATGGGACAAGGATGCCTCCTTGCGGCCAGCCCTCGCACGCCCGAGGCAAGCCCTTTACTGCCCCCGGCTCTGGCTCTGCACCCGCAAGACAGGACTGTGAGCCGGGAGAGCCAGGGACGTGGACGGAGCTTAGTGACTGTCTCAGGGATTTCTGCTAAACAAGCATTCCTCAGCTGCCTTAGTCACACACGGGGAAGAGCGGGAGGGAGGTAAGTCGGCCCACTCACTGTGACAACCGCCTTAACATCTGCAACCTAGCGTCGCACTGTAACCTCCAGCAGACGCCATAAATGTATTCCCCAAGTCACGAGGCTTCTCTCCTAGGTCTGCGCGAGCTCTCGGGCACCAAGTATCTCTGGCTCCGCCTGCTGCTTAATTGTGGTATTGCAGCTCCGGCTAGAGACCCTGGCTAGGGCGGCGGGTCCCTGAAGGCTGCTTTCCCTGGGGCCAGAGCAGACCGGAGGGTGACAGCTGCCCCAAGACCCAGGTCCAGACAGAGCAGGGCGCTTCCGCTGCACATCTTAGCACGGATCTTATGGTTGTTGCACTGACTAAATAAATTTTTGGAGGGCAACCACGTTGCCAACATTAAACTTCAAACCATTAGCATGGTGTATGCCTTGGGCCTTTTGTTCTGCTTTTTAATATGTAGCAGGTTTGGGTTTATCTATCTTAACAATTGTTGCTAACTTTGTTTCTGAGCCTTCCCTCTGGATACTGGTGCAGTGGAATTGTTCTCTCTACCTTAATTTCTATTATACAGAGATACAATTGGTTTTGTGTATTGGCCTTGGATCTGACAACACTCATTGTTTCTGATAGAATTTTCTGGGTTTCAGTGGACTTACTACCTGCATAATCATGTCTTCTGCGAATCTAGACAACTTCCATCCCTCTAAACTTTGTCTTCCAGGTCTCATCCTCATGCTACGGGGTCTCCTAGTCCTCAGGCAGGGGTTGAGAGGCAGCCCTCCCCCCGCTTCCCCATGTGGGGCTACTCGGCCTGCAGCCCCTGCAACACCCTCACTCAGGTCGAACATGAGTTCTTCTGCTGAATGGGGCGCTCTGCAGGTCCAGCTCCTCAGAGGACCGAGGCAGGAGGGTCACCTGCACCCCAGGGGTCGAGACCAGCCTGGGAAACAGCAACACCTTGACTCAAAAGGGAAAGAATATGTTTTCAGTGTTTTTCACTTTAGTTTCATTTAACTTATTTATTTATAGTACTGCAGATTGAACCTAGGGCCTTCACACTGAGCAACACCCACAACCTCTTTTCTGATTTTGAGACAGGGTTTCACTGAGTTGCTGAGTTATCCAGGCTGGGCTTGAACTTGCCCTCCTCCCACCTCAGCCTTCCAGATTGCTGTGATTGCAGCTCACATGTTCCCGGTTTTCTTTCTTTTTTTCCTCTGTGATGTTCAGGTGTCTGCTTTGCTTCTCTGCTTTGACTGATTTCCACCCGCAACACCACTCTTACGTTCTTGGGGCAGCCTTTGCGGACACCGTTCTTGGGCCAACTCCCCAACTTCTCTTTGTGGAGTTTTGCATGATGTTCTTGAGAAGCACTGAGCTGCGGCTTGCTTTTCCTGGATGCCACTTTTGGGGAATCGGTGTGGGCGTGTAGCCCACTGGTGTTGAGAAGTAAAGGGCTGAGGTTATTTCTTCTGTAAGCATTCGACAGCGTTTGCTAGTGAATCCATCTCGGCCAGGAATCTTCTGCATCCACACTATGAATTCAGCTTCTAAAATCTCTAGAGTTTTGCTCAAGTATTCTATTTCATCTTGGGAAAATTTGCCGGATTATTTCTTTTAAGAACTGTGCCTGCCGTGCCAGCCCTGCCCCTGGGGCACGCTGAGACCACAATTGAGACTGGGCGTGGTGGCGCATGCCTGTAATCCCAGCTCTTGGGAGGCTCTAAACAGGCGGATCACTACAAGTCCGATCTAGTAGTGAGACCCTGAACACCCTGTAGATCCTTGCCTAAAATACAAAAATAAAGAACTGTGTCTGTGAGCCAAGTGTGGCAGCGCATGCCTGCAATCCCAGCCCTTGGGAGGCTAAGACAGGAAGATCACCATGAGTCAAAGGCAGCCTGGGTTACATAGTGAGTTCAAAACTGGTCGGAACTAAGAGCGAGAACTTGTCACCCCTCTGCCACAAAAGAACAACTGTGCCTAGGCCATCAGGGTTAGCAGCTGCCTTAGCAAAGTGTGTTCCTGAGACTCCTCCACATGGTGACACCAGCTTCAGCCAGGAGCAAGGCCACCACTCTGACTGCCCCCTGGCTGCCTGCCTGCATGCGCTGAGCAGCCTGTCAATACCACTTAGAGGCCTAGTTTCCCTGCTCCAGAGCTGACGCCCATCCCCAGGCTGAGGCCTCCTCCACCCAGAGCTGACGCCCGTCCCCAGGC